GAAAAGCACTGACGATCTCATGTAAGATCATCAGTGATTTTCCGGAAAAACTATGCTGTTCCCATTTGGGCAAAAGTCTTTTTCCGAAAGACTTCTGTCCAAAAGGGCCAGTGTAAACAGCACAGTAGTGTTTTCCGCAAAAAAGCCCCAATGGCGAAAATGGCCATCGGGGCTTTTTTGCGGAAACCTGCGTCTAGATTTGCCACGGATGCTTTTCCGCAAAAAGTGCTTTTGTGGAAAAGCATCCTGCCAATCTAGACGTGCTTTTCCGAAAATGCTTTTAATGGAAAACTTTTCCGTTAAAAGCATTTTTGGAAATTCATGCCAGTCTAGACGTAGCCAATGGGTGTGTCTAGATGACAAGTTTTTTTTTAAAAAAAACTTCCCCTGCATCTAGACTGCTGCCGTGTTTTTGAAAGTAAATCAAAAGAACGCGGCAGTTTTACGAGGAAGAATGCCTTTTTTCAAAAGTGCTCCTTCAAAAAAAGGTGCTATGTAATGTAAACTGTGCTTTTTCGAAAGAGAGTATCCAGGCTGCCTGGGTGCTCTCTTTCGAAAAAGCGGCTTGCTTTTTCAAACGTACTGGTTGCAGTCTAGACACTTTTTGAAAGAGGTTTTTTCAAAAGAGGCTTTCAGTCTAGATGTAGCCAATACGTCTACACAGCGAAGAAAATGCCCCAGCTGGCCTAAGGTTGCCAATTTTGGCTGGGCATATTCCTGACATAATGTTGAATTAATTATATAATATTTAATAGAGACTCCAGGGCGATCTCAAGGACTCCAGATGGGCCCATGCCAGCCAACTTGGGCTCAGGCTTCAGGTTTGTTTCATTGCTGTGTAGAGTTTCTGAGCACTGGGTGGAATCTGGGCTCAAAGACCCTGCCAGGAGGAAGGGTCTTGGACTTCGGGCTTCTGCCTGAGCTTCAAAATCTCCGTAGCAATGAAACAGCCCTGCAGTCTGAGCCCTGCAAGCCTATTGGTTGGCCCAGGCTAGCCACGGGTTTTTCTTTGATCTATAGATATTACCCATGCTTCACTTTTAAGCATATACTTAAGTTTCATTGATGTCAATGGGACTTAAACGTGATTTAATGTTAAGCATACGCCTCAGTGATTTCCTTAATACAGCTGCTTTCCTGACTTGGAGGGTTATTTTTAATCCATTTGCAGCACAATAGGAGTGTGTCTAGACTACACCTCTCTGTCAAAAGAGAGATGTAGATTAGGCACATCGAAATTGCTAATGAAGCCGGGATTTAAATATCCTCATTAGCATAAACATGGCTGCCGCTTTTTTTCAAAATGGAGTTGTTTCAAAAAAAACTGGCAGGCTAGATGTGAATCTGTCGAAAATAAAGCCTTTTTCGACAGATCCTATATTCCTCAAAAAATGAGGTTTACAGGCTCTGTCGAAAAAGGCTTTATTTTCGACAGTTCCACGTCTAAACTGCTGGGTTTTTTTTTTTTTAAACTCCATTTCGAAAAAAAGCAGTGGCCATGTTTATGCAAATGAGGTGCAGGTTATGTAAATCCCAGCTTCATTACCAATTTCAATGTGCTTGATTTGCATCTCTCTGTCGACAGAGGGATGCAGTCTAGACGTAGCCTAAGTGCGGATTTCTTTCTTTCCCTCAGTGACTTCCTCCCTGTACAAGCTCCCTGCAACTGGCTGTTTTATTCTAAAGAAGCAGTAACTGGGGTCCATAAGAATTTGTCGACAACAGCTCAAGAAGCAGCCTAAGAAGAAAGAGGGAGCAGAGATAGTTCTGGGGGCATGTGAGGTATGCAGGGTTCTTCCCTGCCCTAGACTAGTCACGTGACCTCAACACTTCCCAGGCTACCAGAAGTAGCTGAGGAGGGAATGCTGGTGCCCAGAGGCAGAGATCACCTGTGCTAAGTAGCACCAGGGGCCTCACTCCTCCAATATGGGAGGGAGGAAGCAGGAGTGAGGATCTCATCCTCTAACTTTGGGGTGGTGATAGGGAATGGTTGTAACCCCTAATGAGACTTCTGGGTAAATATTGGAAGTAAAGATTCATATACAAACTCAGTTCTTTCTGATATGTCCCTCTCTCCCACATGCCGAAGGATGCGAGGAGGACCAGAAAGAGAGCTTTGGAGGGAAAGGTGACCAGCCAAGAGCCCAGGAGGAAAGCAGGAGTATGGAAGTGCGTATATGTGAACAGGATTGTGAGGGTGTGAATGGGAGGGAACAATGAGGTGTGTGGGAGGGAGGGCAATAATAGGGGAATATATGTATGAGGGGGGCATAAATTGGGGGGGCTGGGCAGTGAGAAACTGTGAATGGGGTGAGAGCCAGCATGAACGATGGGCTAAAGACTAGAGAAGTGAGTTGACTGGGGTAAGGATTCCCCTTACACTAGAGAAAATGTGTCCTGTGCAGTTCTTAGATGTCCAACAAAAATATGTAGGAGTAGGTTTGATCTTTTAGTGACAATAATTGCTGCTACCTACGTTTTGAATAGAGTACCTACATACTGTGTATCAATGGTAGGTGGATGAAAATATTGATAAGATTACATTAGATATTGAATTGCTTGCAACCAGGCATTTCATGCCCACTCTTAAAGTGACAAGGCATTTCATTACAATTGAATATTGTGACACAATGGGAATTACAGCTTGACATTACATTGGCATGTGGCCACTGTGGCATAGTGGGGATGCTGTCTGCTCTGTAACCCGGGGTTCCCTTGCGCTGTGATGTGTGATTCCCACTGACTCACCCACATGTTGTGATGTAGTGTCAGTACCTTGCTGGTTGCTATACTAGGGCTGTGGGCTGTGGATGACCCCTACTGGCCTCTGCCTCTGAGCACTGCCTAGCAGGTGGGCTGCCTAAGTCATGAAGACAAAGACCCAACCGATCAGACAAGTTGGAACTAAGAAAGTGAGTGTTCGGGGGAAGGGGAGTTGCTGGCTGAGAAACATGAAGGGAACAGCCTGGGCTGAGGGCTGAGGGGTTAAGGGTGATGGACCCCTATCCCAAGGGGTCCGAGGCATCCTGGCCCTGACTCCTGTAACCACATCACGTCTATGCTGTGCTGTATCCTGGAGAAGCGATAAACCCTCTCTATTCTACTGGCTGGTGGAGTCTGTTCTTGCTGCAGACGGGGTGCAGGATTTGGCGGGAACCCCAACTGCGCCCTCACAGCCACCCATGTTGTGTGGCCGTCATATCTCCTGACAACAATATGACACTATCATATTTTCTTGTAGGGCAATTGAAGAAAGGCAGCCCTAACGCTTGAACTCAGTGTGCCAACACATGACTATAAGAAACCCAGTCTCCTCTGGTCAGCTTTTCCTATATTCTAAACATGTGATCCTGAGTGTAAATTTACTGCAGTGTCAGAGATTTATGCCTCCCTAAAATAGGTGGGCATAATCTAAAGGGAAAAAACCTTTGATCACCCCACATGTCTTCTCTGCCCTGGCATACCTTCCCGCTCCCTGCCCCCTCCCCACACCCAGCCTGGAGCTGCAATGCTCTCTCTGCCTCACCAAGTTGACTGTGGTAGGGAGGACTCTGTCTTCCCTCTGTGGCTGCCCTGGTGGTACATTCCTGGCAGGTGGATCCCAACTGAGAGCAGGAGGGAATGGCTTTTCATGTGGCTGAAGCTGGCTCCTCTTGGTCACTGCTTAGGGTTGTCGAATTTTCTGACACAAAATCAAACATGCTTGCCCCGCCCCTTCCCCAAGGATCTGCCCGTGCCCCACTTCTTCACGGTCGGCCCCCACTCACTCCATCCCCCCACCCTCTGTTGCTTACCTGCCCCCAGCCTCACTCACTTTTACCAGGCTGGGGCAGAGAGGGGTAAGAGCCTTAGGGTGGCACCAGGGGTGAGGGGTTTGGCATGCAGGAAAGGGTGAGAAAGGGGGTTGTGGTGTGGACTCTGGGAGGGAGTATGGGTGCAGAAGGGGCTCAGGGATGGGGCAAAGGATTGGGGCATGGGAGAGGATGTGGGGGGCAGGCTCCGAGAGGGACTTTGGGAGCAGGAAGGGTTCCAATCTGGGGAAGGGGTCTGGAGTGTGGGAGGGGGTTGGGATGTGCACGTTATGCGCTGCCTGCGTGCAAAGGCATTGCCTCTGAAGTAGCCATTGGCTGTGGTTCCTAGCCAATGGGAGGAACCACTTTGGGGCGGAGGCTGTGCCTAGGCACTGGACATGCTGGCTGCTTCTGGGAGCCCCATCGTGCCAGGGCAGACAGCAAGCCTGCCTTACCCCTGCTGGCTGGAATTCTAGTGGTCTGGTCAGCAGTGCTGACCAGAGCCACCAGGATCCCTTTTTGACCAAGTGTTCCTGTTGAAAACTGGGCACCAGGCAACCTGATCACTGCTCTGTGCTGTGCAGCAACTGCCTGAGAGAGCCCAGCTGAGATGGTGGCAGGCCCCTCCATCCCACACAGGTCCAGATGCTGGGGACAGGGACTAAGTGAACCAGAAACAGGCTGTGGTGTAGGGAGGACTCTACTTGCTCGGCCCCTGTCCCTGGCAGCCAGGCCTGAGTGGGGGACAGCCCACCACTACCACCTCCCCAGCCAGGCTCTCGCAGAAAGCCAGTACTCTTCACTGAGTAGTCCACTGGAGTGGCCAGCATGAAAAGTGGCTGCTCCTGGCCCTTCCACTCCTTGCCCAGTCCAGCTGTCAGGGACAGAGCCAAGCATGCCAGGAGACAGATAAAGTGGGAGAAAGACAAAGCAGCTTTCCCTCCCTTCCCAGCAGCCCAAACAGAAATTTGGGGGTGCATTTCACCCTGTCTGCTTCCCCACAAATGTCGCCTCAGGCTATACTTCTTTATCAATATTTCGGAGAGTATTTCAGAAGGCCACAGAACTCACTGGCCAGACCCACAGAAGCTCCATCAGGAAAAAAAATAAAGCCTTTGGGGGATGTGTTTCAGACCAACAGAAAAGATATTAACTTAATGAATAATTGACACACAATTGGAAAAAATCAAATTTCCTGCACAAGTCCAGGACGTTAGAAAAGTTTTTATTGAGCATGTTAAAGCTTTTGACATTTCATGTCAGCAAGGTTGGAGGAGACAAGGAAAGGTCCCCAATTATGTCATCTAGAGAAGTGGTGTCTTCAGGGTTAGCAGGCTAAGCGATGCTTTTTTTATTCATTTCATTTTTCCTTTACCACCCATTGCTAAAAGAAAAACAGAGACACGTTTATATATACAATAAGGAACTCATGTTATATTTATTTAAGGGGGCAGAGCTGGGGCAGGGACTCAGGGGGCTGAGGCCAAGTAGGGCTGGATTCATCTTTGGTGGGCCCTGGTAGCTGTACTGTGGTCCTTTCCCCTGCTTGGCCTCAGCCCCCTCAGTCCGTGCCCCAGCTCTGCCCAGAGTCGGCCCACAATATTTTGGCACCTGAGGCGGGGAGCTCAAATGATGCCCCCATCCCCCTCGCTTGGGCCAAAACTTTGAAGGTCTCAATTCTCTGGGTCCTAGTGGCACCCCCCTACAGTATGGCACCTGAGGCGGCAGCCTCAGTTCGCCTCATGGTAAGGCCAACCCTGGCACTGCCCCTTCCTGCAAGGCTCTGCCTGCTGCTCACACGGGAGAGAGGGCAGAGAGCAGTAAACAGCAGGCAAGGCCTTGGGCTGAGCTGATGCAAGGCCTTGTGGTGGAGCAGAGGGTGGGACCATGGGCCAGGAATCAGTCCCCTTCTGTGTGTGGGCCTTGCACCATGGCTCCATTATACATATGAGCCTTTGACACCTGATCGCCTGTTGAAAATTGCCCAGGCATAACTGTCTGAAAATTGCTCAAGGACTTATACAAAATGAGTTGGAGTTCTCTATCCAGTTTCTAGTGTGCCACAAAACCACCACCATACTTACAGTCCACGTCAGCCTTGTCCATGGCCTAGTCTGAGTTTACTCCTGACCTGTATCCAGCAACTGCTTGCCAGGCCTTTGGACCAATTCCAACCTGGCTTTGACCCTCAGCCTGCTTCCAGATATGGATGGTGATCTTGATTTGGCTTGGTATGGACTCTGACCCCGTTCTGACTCACAGCTTGTGCCTGTATCCTTGTTTCACTGCTGCCCTCAGCCCTACCCTAGCCTCGACCACTGCTCCAACCACCAGGCCTGTCCAACTAGAAACTGAAGTCTGACATGCCTTCCTTTTCCCATACTCCTACCAACTCATCCTGTCCTCCTACCTTCCATTCAAACCATCCTATAATCTACTTCATAGCACATTAGGACCACACTTCTGATTTGGGACCTCCCAGAATATAATAATAATTAATCATTAATAATCAATGCTAATTGAAAATTGATCAGTACTAATTAATAATTAATAATAAAATATGCATCTTGCCCAGTTTAATTTTCAATTTGTCTTAGTATGTTCATATTCTTTCAGTATTGTAGAAAGTCTTTCTCTTTTTCTTTCTTGTATCACCTGAATGAAGGCCCCATTATGCCATTGTGCCAGGCACATACAAATACAAAGGCAGATCATATGTTTCATGTCATTAGGGCTACGTCTACACTCACGGCTTCTTGCGTAAGTAATATGCAAATGAGGCTAAGCGTGGAATATCGCCGAGCGTCGTTTGCATGCCTAATGAACCACCATTTTTTTCAGAAGTGTCTACACTGCCCCTTCTTGTGCAAGAAAAATCTTCTTGCGCAATGTCGTTACACCTATTACTTTTCAGGAAAAACAGCGTTGCACAAGAAGGTTTTTCTTGCGCAAGAAGGGGCAGTGTAGATGCTCCTCGTGCAAGAGCCTCTTCTGAAAAAAATGGTGGCTCATTAGGTATGCAAATGAGGCTCGGAGATATTCCACGCTTAGCCTCATTTGCATATTACTTACGCAAGAAGCCGTGAGTGTAGACGTAGCCCTAATGACATGAAACATATGCTTTCCAATGTCTTCATGCTTTTCATTTGTCTGTACTTCCAGTCGGTCAATATATTTTTGGTAATGAGACACCAGCAATAAATGCAGGTTTCTAGGTATAGCTAACCCAACTTCTACAACCATTCTCTACATTAGGGAATTTTTTTAAACATTTCTGATGATTGCTATAGCTTCCTCATCTACACTGGTTTCAGCAATGATGGGAATTCCAGTGTAGATGAATCTCTGATTGCTGTCACTATTTTTAACAGTATAAACTATATCTGCTGCAAGCAGAGTTCTGTGTCATGGTGGTAAAAATGCCAGCAGTAGCTGGCTATCCAATTCTACTGGGATTTGTAGAGAACTCAGTGCAATGGAACCTGGATTAGCAACAGTGAGAAATGTTACGGATTCCCTAGTGAGAGCATGACCCCACAGAGAAATGATTCTCTCTGATGCCAATGCTTATGAAACCCAAAACTCTGTCAGATCCCTTTTTTTTCCTGCCAGCTTGTAAGGCATTATTTTTTCAGAAGCTTTCTAATTTCTGCTTCTGACTGACTATGAAGTAATAAGCAGGAGAAACATTGTTCACTGCAGCAGCTTTGCATAGCCACATCTGTTCATATTATGTCATTTAAAAAAGTATATGTTGACATTTCTGAATGAATGAATCTTCCATAGAATTATAAACAATAAAAGGACTTTAACTTACAGACAGACTGGACATTGGATGTTGTCCCACCACTTCGTATTCCTCCTCCATGAGATTTAGCTTCCTGGGACATCATTCCAGATGCCTTAGTTCCACTGGCGATCCCACTAGAGGTGTAACCTGATGAATGGGTTGAGCTTTTGGCACCTGCAACAGTTATAAATAGTGTGTTGATAATGATATCTGGGCTGGAAAGGGCCTCCTGGGACAAGATGCCATTTTAAAGCCAAAAACACTTACTTCCACCAAATGTTTCAAATAGAGATATCAAAAATAAATACAAAGAGATGGCTAGTCACTCATCCCATTCCACCATATGCAAGAACACCAGCAATTTGCAACCTTTTGGCTATTGCTGTTTCCAGGGTAGAAGGACACAGGCCTATTTAGAATCCAATTCTGCCATATTTCCATGCCAATGTGGGTGTAACATCCCAAAGGGGCCATGCAATGCGTCTCTAAATAAGAATCCTCAGATGTAACAGATCAGCTAGAACTCTGGGATGAAGAAGTGGTTAACAGCACTTTGGCTCAATAGAGCTTTCTACAATAAAGGCCTAAGGACCATCCTAAGCCTTATCATCTTCCACTTGAAGAGTAAGGTGCTTTTCTTTGACTTGCATTCTCAAAGATAAATAAATAGCAGAATATTGCTATATTTAAAAAAAAAAATCCAAAACCAAACACTCCACTGCACACACTTTTCCCTCTGGGAGTGAGGATGGGAGAACAAATAACATGTGACATGTGTAGTCATGTAGCTTAATGTACGGCTGGAAAGTATTCAGATACCATGGTGATGAGTGTGGTATAAAAGCCTATACTAACTAACATAGAGAGACTCTGAACACTGTTCAGATGCTGTTGCAGACAGAAACCATCTCTTGCAAGTGTTCATGTTAGGGTAAGCATGAGGGGGGTATGTTTATCTAAAGAGGAAAGGTTAAAACACAATGTTAATGAGCAAGATTTCCCATGAACACCTGTGCAAGTGAAAATAGAACTTCTCATTCTCACCCAGAGAGGCACAGCATGTATGACAAGCTTTTCCATTGCAGAGAGCCTAAGCCATCACCTACTCTGGGAGGCATTATAGGGCTAATATTTTCACAAGGATAAGGACTATTCTGGAATATCTCCAAAAGGCAAAGGGATAGTTTCCTTTAGCATCAAGCGCAAAGCCTTCTCTTCTCTAGAAATGTGTTTCCCATATACACATATTGGATATAGTCATTGCAAGTGTAACCATATACTCTGCTAAAGCTTTACCTCCTGTCTGCGACTGAATGAATCTTGGCAGATGGAGGAAAATAGGAATTCATTCCTCTGCTTCGATTAGTGTCCTTCCCACAATTATCACTAGTAAAGTGGTAACTTTTTTTTTTGCCAGTGTTTGTCACACCAGGCTGTTTTTTAAATACCAGTGGAGTAAACCTGATAGCCAACCACATGATTTACGTCCACTTTCTTATTCTGGGACAGCCTCACTCCAGAACTATTAAGTACCACTATAATCCATGTCAAGAAGATGACTGTCCCCTCTCACCACTACCCCCCGGCACTGAACCAATCCAAAATGTTGCTAAATAAAAACAACCTAAACCAGTCAGCTGTCATAGCTCAGATTTGGTTTTTCACTGTTCTTAGAATGTTCTTGTGTTCAGTTATTATTTTTGGAAGGCTGCCCATATTTTTCTAAGAAATGGAATTTAACAGTTTATTTCAGCAAAACCTGAATGGGATTGCATGAGAGCAAGAAAAGACACTTCAATAGCATAAGGGCATGATCCCTGCCAAATATCAAAAGCCGTGCTCACCAACCAGTAGATTGGGATCTACTGGTAGATCCTGGAAGCACTCACAGGTGCTCCTGACTGGTTTGGCCAAGAGGTTACCAAGTGCTGCCACTTCAGTAGCCCCCCACCCCTGCCTCCCTGCTGCTCATCTCCTGCCCTTTGCCTTGGAGCTGCCCCTCTCCCCAGGGAGCCTCCTGCTCATTGTGCAGGGCAGGGGAGGAAGAGGTAGGGGGCTGATGGAATCAAGGTGCCCCATCCCACTCTGTATCCTAGCTCCACAAAGCAGAGAGGGGGCACAACAGGACTTGGGATGGAATTTGCTGGCTGCTTTAGGGAGTGGTGCAGGTAACCCTGCCTTAGCCCTACTGCACCATCACCCAGGAGTCACGTGAGGTAAGCTGGAGCCCACATCCCAAAATCCTACCCAATCATAAACCCCCTAGTGCTCCCCTATCCTAAGGACCCCAGCATCCAAACACCAAACCCCCTCCCACATCCCTACTGCCTGCCCCAAGAGCAGCTCAGAGCCCCTGTCGCACTTCAGATCCCTTAATCCAACACCAGAGCCTGCACCCCAACCCTCTGCCACAGCTTGGTGAAAATGAGTGAGGACGGGCAAGAGAGGGAGTTTAGAGTGAGCAGGGGTGAGACCTCAGAGAAGAGGAGGGAAGGAGCCGGGCCCAGGGTATTTATATTTGAGGTAGATCTTGGATTGCATTTAACTTCAAAAAGTGATCTCTTGCTTAAAAAGGTTGCAGACCCCAATCAAAAGCCTGCTGAAAACAATGCAGAGGTGGGAGTTTCTGAAAGAAAAGGTTGGAAGAAGCCTTTATAATGGAAAGTGGCAGGTAACATCAATAGATGGGTTGCTACCAACTCCTACTAAAATATATGTGTAAGCTTATGAGTGCCTCTTGTATGTGAGTGAGTGGCATATACGGGCGTATCTACATACAGATCTGGTCTACACTAGAGTGGAAGGTTGATTTAAGATACACAACCTTAGCTACATTAATTGCATAGCTGGAGTCAACATATCTTCACTAGACCCACTAAATTGAACTCTGGAAGATCGACTTTGGCAGCGTTGATCTGCATAGGGTAGACATGGCCACAGTGTGTTAAAAATACATGATAGTTTTCAAAGAACTGCACACATGCAGTAGGCAACCTTAAAAATGTACCATTTACCACTGCTGCTATTGTTTTTAATATTGCTATGCCCTACAAATAAAATAGAATTACCATAAATAGAGTCATCTTAAATTTCATAAATAGTGTTTAAATGATTATATTGGCAAGTGGGAAATTGTTGAGTGTACCCTGTAGATTTTTGTATGCATGTGAGTACATATATGCACATCTATACATATATATAATTGGTTCCATAAAAACCTCAGTTATATTGGTCAATCATTTTTACTTCAGTGAAAATTGTAGGTTAGAAGAGAATACTTAGAGCTTATGTCTAGGGCAGAATTGTATAATCAATATTAGGTTCTTTTTACCTTTTTTCTTTAAGGTGCAGTAACCATTCATTTCTTTGCTATACAAAAGAAGAAATTCTATCACATACCCATTTCTTGCAGGGTAGAAGTAGTTCCTCCAGAAGGCACACCTCCTCCATGGCTTCTTGACTCTGTGGACATCATCCCAGAGCCAAGTGATCCTCTTCCTATCCCATCTGGGGTAAAACCAGCATTGTGGACATTTTGGTCTGCCATCCTTCCTTCTGCTTTTTCTGGACTGAAATGAAATCCTGGGCAGAGCGCATGCCCTATAAATACTGTTGTAGGCAGCTGAAACAATGCAGGGAAGGAAACGAAACTGAAACCTTACGGCAGTTTCCATTTACTGAAAAATGAAACATCACAGCTCCGTGATCACTTTGTCCTTTTATCATTTTGCTTCACTCCCTAACATAATTACATATGTGAGAAGGAGATAGTGTAACTGCATAACTCCCTTCTGGGGCTACAGTCTATGCACAGGGACATTTAGCAAATGCATTTAGCAAATGCATAAACTACTCCTAAGAATTGGGAGAGGGAAGGGCAGACAGTTAACTCATTTTCCCCCTCCCCTTGGATTTGCTTTGGAAAGTTAAATCCAAACTTCCTGGATGCTGCTTTTGTTGGTCTTTGTGTTGTTACTGTTAATTGTACTGCAGCAATATTCAGAGGTCCCTCTGAAGATCAGGACTCCTCATGCTAAAAGACATTTTCTGCCTTGAAGAACTTTCAACCCAAACTAAGGATTGATATACACAGGGAAGTTTCCCAGCAGAATTATACTAGTGTAGCTTCCCCGGGGATGCTCGGGAATAAGAGTGCCTTTCTCTAGGGGCAGGTCTTCATTACAGGGTTAAATCAACCTACGTTACACAATTCCGGCTATGTGAATAATGTAGCTGGAGTCAATGTAGTTTAGGTCAATTTATTGTAGCATCCTACTTAATGCTGGATTGACTGGAAAAAGTCACCTTATGCCTTATCTTACACTTCGTATTCCAATGGAATACCAGAGGCGATGGGAGAGTGATCTACGATCAATTTAATGGGTCTTCACTACACCTGCTAAATGACCACCCGGTGGATTGATCTCCTCAGTGTTGATCTTCTGCTAACAGAAACAAACTCGTGGGAAATTTTGTTTACCATTCCCACATGCCCCTGGTTTCCATCCGGATAGTTTTTTTCCCGCTAGTATTACTAAAGTATTACTAAAGTGACGTGCATATAAAGCAAAAGCACATGAAGTGAGAGCCACGTGATCCCTCTACATCCAATCAAAGCGCTGCTACCTTTCAAGCGACACACCCTGCAAATTCCCAGTTATGCAAGTGCAATTAACAAAATTACCATATCCCGGGAGACTGTCTTATTTATGACAATCTTGTGGCCCACTGAGATGAAGAAGGAACATTCATGTGGCCCACTCACTAGCCTTGGTTGCCCATCACTACTCTAAATCATTATCTTTCCCGTTGTTGCCAGGGAAAAGACATAGGGAAAAGACATTTAAAGCTATTATGTTCAAGATGGAGCCTCTTTAGATTCCATCTTGTTTTCCTTCTTCTACCTGTGTTACCCTTTTCCCGCCAAAACCTAAGTGCACACGGTCATCTGCTCGGTGCACCCCGCACTATAGTTTGCACTCAGTCCAAAACTGTGCACTGGGCACTAAAATGAGCTGCACACCACTCAGAAACTGTGCACCCCTCCCTACTGGAGTGTTGCACACGGCACCAGTTGCTGCACACCATCCTTACCTCCCTTTTCCCACCTTGAAGGGCTTATAAGCCCTGACCAAGGAAGGGTTCGGGTTCGCCACCGTCCGTCCGTATCGTAGCCTGTCAGTCACTGTCTGCTGTTGGTGTCTGTTCGTCTCCCGTGGTGATCCATTTTAGTTTGTGGGTTCTGGTATAAGGATTTGTTTGAGTGTGGGAGAGAGAGCCTCGCAAGTGTGGGAATGCCCCACTTAAGGATTACTGGCTTCTGTCACATGGACTTAACTCATTTACCATCATCCTTACCCGCTGGATTGGACTGGAAGTCGAAGGGCTACCCAGCGCCGATCCCAGAGGGAATCTACCCGACTCACTGGAGGCAGAGATCCACCTGCAGGAGGGCCGTTCGACTGGACTACCTTTCCCTGTCAGCAAGGGACTCCCTGCTGTCCTCCCCTAAGGCTTTACACTAGCCACAGGGTAGAAGGTCGCAGGCATCAATCGCCATCTGCCTCTGATTTGTAAAGTATATTCCCCTTTGTTGTATCCGGGACTTACCTATCTTCTTTCCTTCTGGGATAGGGTGGGTTCACGCTGTTGTTGTTGATGTATGTTACACTGTTCAAAAATATATGGTTTGGCCCTAAACATTGGTCTAGCCTGATTTGTGGTTACCCAATCCAACGGTGATTAGATACGTAACACCAGGCCAAATCTGGCTGCTGGGAGGGGACACCCGGCTTTAGGCCGTGGGCTCAGTCATTGCCATTAGCCTTAACTTCCACAACAGTTGCTTACCTCAGTTCCCCAGGTAACACCGTCAGGAGGTCTTTCAGCTGGAAACCAAATACTCTAGCCACTTAATCTATCATGGCTCATCCTTGTTGCCAGTCCTTCTGACAAATTTGCTCCCACCCCTAAAACATTCTTATGCACAATACACCTGTGATTTGTCTCTGTGTCCCCATTCTGTTGGAATCACCAGGTGATTCCTGCTTGTGGCCCAGAATCTCAAATGAAAGTTGGTCTGTGGTCTGGGCCTTGTGATTGATCACTTTCAGCAGCAGCTATCCCCATTGGCCTGCTCTCGGGACATGGTCTGGTGTCTCAAACTTCAAGGCTATTTCTACACCGCATTATTCCATTATTTTGGAATAGCTGATGTTATTCCAAAATAACATAGTCCGCCTCTACACAGCAATCAAATATTTTGTTGTAATGTTGAAATAATGTCAAGCTGGAGGACTTCTTACTACGACTCCTGTAACCCTCATTTAATGAGGAGTAAGGGAAGTGAGAGGAAGAATGCTCTAACTCAGACTCCCTGCTATGTAGCCAGTGCCAAAAGCCGAAATAAGCTATTTTGACTTAAGCTATGCAATTGACGTAGCTCAAGTTATGTAGCTTATTTCGGCTTTAGCCCTGCTGTGTACGTGCCCCAATTGTGTCATCAGTGTATTTGTTTCTTCAGTTTTCACATAACTTATCTTCATGAGCCACTTGAGTGCAGGTGAGGCTTGACTCAAGGTACTGTTAGCACCTCCATTTTTAATCAACAGGCCTTTCCGAATAGTTTGCCCTCTTTTGTTCTATAGGTGAGCTGTACTTGCTCAGCCAATGGTTATAGGGTATTGCTTCACAAGTCCATTGGTCTCCCTCTTTATGTAAGGATGACCTTCTATCTGGATCATAGAAGAATGGGGACAGTTGTCGAAAGACTATCATTATTAAGGCTTTAGTCACTACGATGCCTCTTGTTTCAATCATTTCTCAGCTCTATCAACCACTACCTTGAATTATTTAATAATATAAAATATCTAGGGTTACAGCTTGCATAAAAGTAAAACGTAAAGGGTTACATAAGAACAGAAAAATGGCTCCTTTAAGGTCCCCTTGTGATAAGTAAAACAGAAACCAAAAAAAAGTAACTGTTGCTTTGAAAGTGGGGCTACAGAATATCACCAAGTATGCAATCCTGCTCTGCCTTTTGTTAATATTTATTTAGCTTTTATGAAGCAGATAATGTGCACGCACTTGGTACAGAGTCTAACATCTTTTTTGCACTTTTATACTTAGTCATATAGAGCACAGGAGATTACAGCTTACACAAAAGAGAGATGGCTTTAATCTAGCTAGCTCTGGTGCTGGAGCAGTGATGCCATGGTGCCAGAATTAGTTACCCAGAGTACCCAGCAGGTTTGTACAACCCGGGCTGAAGAATGCATTTACACAGCTTCTCTGTTCTGCTAGGTTAAAGATGGCATGGGTATGCCCACTGGAGCTGCAATCATGCCCTCACATATCCTAAGGGTAAATAGGTGGAAGCAGATGTAAACTCCACTGAAGTCACAGCATTTAAGGAACAGAGGAGATGCCATATTGGATCAGATCATTGGTCCATCTACTCCAGTGTCCTCTCACAGATGGTAGCCAGGACCAAATGTTTCAGAGGAAGTTGCTAGAAAGCCTGTGTTAGCCATTTATATGATAACCTGTCCTCATGGGAAACTTCTTACTAACCCCCAATAGTTAAAATTGGCTAAAGCTGTGAATCAGCAGGGTTTACATCCCTTCAGAAATCCTTGATTACATCTAATATTTACCATGTGGATACTCTGGTTACACAGGTAAAAATCGAGGCCTTATAGAATCTTGGCCTCTAACGTGCAGAGGTGTAAATGACTATACATGGGGCTAATTTAATTAATCTTTTTGTTTTCCTTCACCTGTAAGTTGTGATGAGTTATTCTCAGCTGAATGATACTCTTGTCAGATCCTGACTATCAAAGCTTATTTTCCCTGCATGCCTCTCAGCGAGGGCTCAAATTGGGCCAGCTTGGAGAACAAGGACTATTTTCTTGAGGTGGCCATCTGATGCTTCAGAATCTCAGCTTTCAGTTGATGATGATGATTATAAAGTAAGCTTTTGGTTGTGACTAGGTGAAACGGCTAGGAAAGGGTGAAGTGCTACCAAATTGTCACATGACCCGGGAGAGGCCTGAAGGGGTTTCCATGCATGATGGAGAGGCAAATGAGAAAGGACTCTTGGGACTGCAGCCTGCGGAGGCAGGAACTGTTTGGGTTTCGTGCAACAGTTTTGTTTTGGGGCCCCCACAAGAGGCTGGTTCCTCTGAGAATATTTCTACTTGCCTCTTCCCTCCAATCTGACATTTGCCTCCAGCAAAGCAGATGAAAAAAGAGCACAAGAGAAGGGAACATATGAGCTGAACTGATGTAAGAAGACCAAAGGAGCCCCAGAAACAAATCTGAGCCCGACTGAAGAGGAGCCAACACTGTATCTAAACACCTGTAAAATGTCCTGTGAATGGCATCTCATTCTGGCATATCAAGTGGGTTGAGCATTGTGGGCAGGGCTTTGAAAAGTTCAGATTCATGTTTTTCCCCAAACCGACCCCTGTTCTCAATACATTTTATGTTTTTCTACACAGTGATCACTACTTTGTCGTGTCCTATTTCTCAATCTGTGCAACAGCACCTGTGAAAACTGCGATAGTCAGTGAGTTTAACTTGAAAATGTATTTGATCAAT